TACTTTAGGAGCAATATTTGATCAGCTTCTATCTTTTTTTTTTTACCAATCGAAAATCTTCGTTTCGTTTCAAATATGTAAAATATCCGACACAATATATTAAGTTTCATATTTGGAAATTTCTGTTGCTACAGCTACTAAGGAATAAAATGATTCTCTTCCCCTCTAGCCAATCTTAGAAGTTCTATACAAGCTACAAGCTTAAAAAAAAAAAAGAAAAAAAAAACTGAAAAAGCTATACTGAATGCGTAATTATCGGACACATTAAATGCATCTTTCACAACACTCGTTACTCTTTTGAAATTGGTCCTCAAGTTGTTCGATAGATGATAGACACATAAACATTGTGAAACATCTGGATATACCTGAAATATAAATGAAACATATTTAAACAAATATTAAGGGATACAACAGTATCATTTGTGTTTACTTAATGTATATATTATGTTTATGTAAACAAATGGTCATTAACAGGACTATACCAATATGTTCATTGATTTAGAAATAAGCAACTCAAAAAAGATGCAAAGGCACCATCGCAATGCCGCCTCCACCTCCACCTCCAACATGCTCAACAAAGATATGTGTTTTAAAAAAAATTATCAAAACAATAATGTTCAAATTCAAAGCAAAATTTTCACATATTTCCACTAGAAATACAAACAAAATAAAGCAAAAGAAACCTCAATTGACCACTACAAATTCCGAATCGATTGAGATATTACAGATTCTGAATCGATGCAGGTAATGAAATCTCAAATCAAGCAAAAATAAAAACACAATCAATATAATTTCGTACTTCATCTCAAAAAAAGAAAGAAATAAATAAATAAACAGTAATATACATTCAAAAGTTGTCTCATCGGCTATTTCACGACCTCTTTTTCACAAATAACACAGATCAATTTTTTTTTTTCCAGCTTATCTGTTTGGTTTTTTTGGGACTGCAACATGTTTGTTCCTTTCTTTTTTTGTTTCTTTTTTTTTTCCTGCCGTTTCTAATGCGTTGATTTAGGAGAATTAATGACATGTATCAATATATGGAGAGAGAGAGAGAGAGAGAAAGATTTGGCGTCTTATTTCTAATCTCGTAGATTTGATATAAAATTCACATCCTTACACTGTTCTAATTAATATTTGCCCCGTTCGTAAATATGTAAATATACATACCAGGGATGTCATGTATGTAATTTTCCCATGCAATTATGCAATAATAATTGGGCCTAGTGGACTGAAGATTTGACATGGAATTGGGTAGGGGCCGCGCGTACGCAGGCCCCCACTACCACGAATTATGACGTAGGCTCGACCCCGCAGGAGCCGACGGGCGCCCCTTCCAAGTGCAATGAAGGTCGCCTCCCTGGACCATGAGTCTTCTTGATCGCCCAAAGGCGCCGTCCAGGTAAGTACATAACTCTATGTATTTCCTTTACTTTATAGTTTTTGCCAAAGGCTAGATAGCGCAATCAAGCTTCGATGTGGAATTCCAAAAACATCTAATATTTCCACTCCGTGTTGTGCATATATTTAAATAGATAGGGTCCATATAAGTATTATATTTAAATGAATCCAACTGTATATGTACACAAATTATTGTACATAACACATCATTCACATAAATGAAATTGATATCATTTTCTTATTTTTGTTTTTTTGACATCCTGAGTGTAACAAAAAAAAAAAAAAAAACTCAAAACCGATTGATAGTTGAATACACATCGAATCTCATTGTCATGTCCTGCCATATATAATTCCCGAATGTGTTGAGCTTGAGTGGCAGACTTTGCACGTTAGGAGATTTTATGTGACAAATTTTAAAGCTTTTTGGTGTTTATTTTTGATGAATTTTAATTTATTTTCAATCCAAAAGTAACTAAGTTTAGAACATCCATAAATATATTGGATATTTATGGTTAATTTTAAAAGCATTAATTATATTTTAATACTATTTTTTATTGTAGACGAATTTACGTGATTTATAAGGTATCATTTTTTTTTTCAAATTGTTCCTTTACAATTATAACAAATTTACTAACTTAAATTTTCAATATATTTAGAAGTTAATAATTTTTTATTTTTTAACAAACTTTTATATATAATATATCAAATTAATCATGTCTTGATAAGCTTCGATTTAACATTTATATTATACATATACAAAATAAATAGTTTTATTTATCTTTATAATTAAAATTAAATTACCTATTAATATTAATTCAAAAAAATAAAACTATTTAAACTAACTTACTACAAAGTAATTATCTGATATAATTTTATAAAATTATAATACAAGATGACAGGTTTGCTAAGGAACCAACTGGTCCCATGTGGGACAGCCCCATGTGGAACTGTCTTATTGGTTGTTGGTTCCATAAGGGAACCAACTAGTTGGTTCCTTAGCAAAATTTTACAAGATGATAAGTAGTGTAAGTAACGGTTTCATTTCAGTATATAAGTAACTAGTACAACACCCGTGTATTACACGGGTGCTTGCTAATTTTTTTCTTAAAATCTAAAATTAATGAGAAAAAGTAGTTGGAATTTTAAATATATTTTACAAAAATATATATATATTTTACGAAGCACCAGAATCAGCCACGTAGGCTCAGCGCATTCGGGAATTATATATAGGGAGGGATAATATATATTTCCAAAATGTATTTAAAAAAAAATGTTGTTATTATTATTTAATTTTCAATGTACACAAGTATTCTACTAGTCAACTAATTAAAGACAAAATCACAAGATTCAATTCCAGTATCGTATCAACTCATTAAGACATCTTTAAGAGAATTAATATTACATTTTATATTAAAGACGCGATATATAAGTCATGATTTTTTTCCCAATCCATCTTTTTTCCTCATATATCTTCTAAAATTATGAAAAAAAAAATACTAACTTAGATTATAAGTAGATTTATAAGTTACTTTTTATTATTAAATTTTTATACATAATGTATCAAATTAATCATGTCTTGATGAATTTCGATTTGACATCTATATTGTACACCCAAAATAAAGAAATAATTATATTTATCTTTATAATAAAAAATAAATTACCTATTAATATTAATTAAAAAATAAATTATTTAAATCAACTACAAAAATTTTTAAATGATATATTTTTTTAAAAAAATATTATAAATAAGATAGTAACTCGTATAAGTGATGTCTGTTATTTTAATATAAATAGTAATATAGTTATTCAAAAAATTATTGAAAATTAAAATAATTTTTTTTATTATAAAAGTTTTTAACAAACATCCGTGTAATACACATGTATTTTGAACTAGTATTTAATTATCATTCGATATTTTTTTATCATATAGTAAGTAATTATTGTTCTTTATAAAAAAGATTAAAATACACTAATAAAATGAAATGTATATGAATTGCACAATCTAATTACTTTTAATCAAATAACAAAGAATATACTTGAAATAGTTTTTTTTAACGATAGGAATTATATAAAACAACACATATTTACATATAGACAATAGCTAGACTTAGTCAAACAATCATCTAGCTGAATTAGTGATAAGACAACTCACAAGACAGTTTAGAGTCTAGACGCCACAGCGCACTTACGATAAAAATATTACTATCACAAGTGGAGAATCTACTCCCATAAGTAAAGAATGAAACTCAGAAAGGGAGAATAACCATCCAAAACAAACACAAAAACACAACACCTAAAATAATAAAAAAAAGCACACACACTCAAAACAGAACAAAAAAAGACCAGAGCCCAACCAATATCTATTGGAATATCACTTGTGAGTGTCCCACATTGATTCTATAGGGAAAATGAGTCTAGTATATAAGCCTAGTGGGCTACTCCTCCCATCACCAATTGGTTTTGGGATGGAACCTCACTAAGGTGCATCTAGGCTCACCCTCTTATGGTGCGCCTTCATCTGGTGGGACTGCACTCTCTTCCCCCGTTTCTAATATGGTATCAGAGCGGGCCTGTCCTAGGACCTGCAATGACTATCTCTACCCGGCCTGCTCTGGGCTTGGGCTTATCTCTCTACCCGGCCTGCTATGCGGGTTTGGGCTTACGAAAGACTCACAAGTGAGGGGGCGTATTGGAATATCACTTGTGAGTGTCCCACATTGATTCTATAGGGAAAATGAGTCTAGTATATAAGCCTAGTGGGCTACTCCTCCCATCACCAATTGGTTTTGGGATGGAACCTCACTAAGGTGCATCTAGGCTCACCCTCTTATGGTGCGCCTTCATCTGGTGGGACTGCACTCTCTTCCCCCGTTTCTAATAATATCCGACAATCGTTCCAACACATCACCGCACAAGACAATAGCGACAACAACAGCCCCAAGATAGGCAATAGTTCGAAATGCAAAATACCGGAGCCCTCGAAACAAGCCGAAAGGCTCTAGTTGAAATCCTTATCCCAAACCCTTGGAGACTGGCAAATCGAGAGGAGTCGGAATCGACCTTTATCCTGCCCACCGGAGTTCTGACAGACGGGACTCGTCCACCCACCCTCACCGTCGAAGAGCCGCCTAAAGATACCACCACAACAGCCCAATTGAGGGCTGCACACGGGGCTAGTCATCTCCGGGAGTGATCGGAGCGGCCGACGGCAAGGAGACGACAAACAAGTTGAAGAAGGCAAGGTTTTTTATGGAGGAAATTGGGAAAAAAAAGAGTGCTTATTAATTTTAAAATTTTAAAATATTTTTTTAAAAAAGTACCATGAATTTGAAATAGTCTTTAGGAAAATAGTAAAATCTTAAATTGAAATTCCACTTGGGCGGCCACTTTTTGCATAAATCAAACTGAATCAGTTGGCTCAAATTCAGGCAGCAGCGTTAGTTGGTGGGGATAGGCTCCTCGTAAATCGATATTTTTCTTTATTACGTTAAATAACAAAAATAAAAAGAAATTATTTTTTTAATAATTCTCACAAACAGAAAAAATAAAAATAAAATAAAAAAGGTGTCAGATGCTGAAACATCTCCATCAACACTGAAATGCGTACCTCGCCGCCGCAGCCACAGCCAGTCGACGCAGCTTCCACCGCCGAAGCCGCGGAGCTCCGCCTGAGGGAGGCGGAGCAGCGACTGAAGGAAGCCATGGAGGACCTGCAGCGCCGGCAGAGGGGCGCGCCGGCGAATCTCCACCCGCCGTGCGATCATGCCGACGAATCGTGCGTTGCGAATGCCGTCGGGAACCTTTGCCAGAGCTTCCTGCTCTCTTACGGTATTCGTGTGGGCATCGGAATTCTCCTCCGCGCCTTTAAGCTCGCCCGCCTCAAGTCCTATTCCTCTCTATTGGATATCAAGGTTTTGCAATTTCGTCTCTCATAGTATGCGTATGTGTGAGATTTTTTTTTTTTTTTTTCTTTCACACAGTTGGACTGAAATTCAGATCGTGATACATTTAATTTGGTATAATTCAATTGCATCTGAAGTCAATTTAGTGGAAATGATGTGCGAGGGTGGCAATGATGTTTTGGATTGAATCGATCGAGCTTTTCTGCTTAATTTAGATTTATTAAATGTTTGGTAGAAGGGGCTGCAGGCATAGAATTCAGTTGTAATAGTATTTTTCTTGAAGACACATAGCTGTAATGCCTTATGAATAATAGAGGTTTCTTCAGGAAGCCTAAGGATATGGTCTGTTTGGAAGAAATTAGGCGTGTAGGGTAGAACCCGTATCCCAAATTGGCTAAAGGGAAGATCATTAGTTGAAGTTGTTAGCCTGTTACTGTGCATCCACAAGAAACCGAAGATGTCTCGAGTTTCTTTGGTATGAAGAAACAAGAGGAGTTTTCATTTGAGGCCACCATCAAATCCATTTTCTGAACCCAATTAATATAGACTATGCTAGTTAGTCAATTCGTACCTACGGCAGGCATCTATGCCTTCTAATTGACCAGATCCCTAGTTTTGAGGAAGAAAGAAGAGGGCGGCTGGAAGGTCATAGAGCTAGTCGAGACCGACCAACTAGTGGAGAAGAAAAATAAGACCATCCCACTCAAAAAAACTCGCAGCCTAAAGAGAAGAAAGTTCATTCTACAAGAAGCTGGCAGAGCTTTAGCCAATGGGCCGCCTGAAAAGTACGCGTATCTTTACACTGGATCGCAAAAAAGGAGAAGCAATTTAACCTTCGTACAGAAAAGTGGAGTTAGCCTGTCCTCGAAATTGACTAAGAGCAGAAAGAAAGGTATTAAGATGATTTCGATGCAAATGGGACTCATCTCACAGAAGAAAGGGAATGAAACTAGAACTTTTTCTAGTAAGTTGCTCATGCGTGAGACTTGATTTCTTTAAACCTAGAGATATTAATTTTGGGTCTCCTTTTTCAAGTCGAGAATTGTGTAACTAATGATGGATTGTGGTATGAGGGGCTGTGGTGCTAGAAAATCAATGGTTGGTGGAGATGTGAATCAATGGTATCATATGAGAAGTGCTATTTGTCAATTCAAAAGCATGGAGAAAAATTCATGCATGAAAGTTGAAACAAGAAAAAAAGAGGTGCAAATTGATAATCCAGGGATGGAAAGAAATTGACTCTATCTCAACTACAAAAATGTGTAGACTGGATTTGCAATATGCATTTACAGTGTAAAACCTATTTTCTCCTAGTAACATTTCTGTTTTTAATACGACACGGCGACGCGCCAAATCACTAGAAACTTATACAAGTTATACCATTTTCTGAGACTGCATCCAATTCTTCACATTTTAAGAATGTATTTTTGTTCAAAATTATTATGTTCATCATGTGGACTACAATCTTGAACTGTTGTGGCTTTGCATCAATATTAAGTTGTATTTTTTTTTCCAAAGTGTGCATACCTTCTAGCACGAATATCTCCATTTTTCTTTTTATTGACTTCTTGGTTTATAAGTTTTTTAGGTTTAGTCCACCATCGGATTTTTAATAAATAAACAAGTAATTCTTATATTCCAAAATTGATAATCACTTATCAGATTTGCTGCACACCATTTGGTATTTGTTTAATCACATTACCTAATGTTCCTGTCATAAAAAGGCTGTTCCCTCCTCCACCTTTTCCCTTTTTTTCTATTTGTCTGAGACTTCAAATTTGATGACCAATGGTTTAATATAAGATATTTCTTGCACGGTAATATTATTTGTTTGATTTTCATTTTTTTTTTAATAATCAAGTAGCAAGTAAAAAATTACTTTCATTGCAGCAACTTGTTTCAGAGAAAGATCTTATAGTAAGAGAGGAAGCTTGTCGAATTGGTTTACTTTTTGGGGGATTCACCGGTTCCTACCATGCTTTGAGGTGTTTGCTGAGAAAGTTGAGAAAGAAGGAGACTCCAGTAAATGCGTAAGTGCAAAATAAATGTTTGTTTTGATTTTAATCATTGCAAGTTAGGTTATAAAATCCATACCATACCTTGATGTTGTGTCCGTTAACAGTACATGGGTAATTCTTGCTGTATTTAGGTATTTGTCTACCATAGTTCTCGGTATTTACTTTTTCCTTTTTGCATTATTTATCCAATTCATTTTGATGACTTTGTTAAAGGGGATGATGGAACAGAATTTTAGCAGGTGCAATATCAGGCTTGTCTATTTTAGCATTAGATGATTCTAGTCGAAGGCGCACACTGGCTTTGTATCTTTTTGCTAGGCTAGCTCAGGTAAAGTATCTTGTATTTATTCTCCTTTTTTCTTGTTTTTTGTCTGAGGTATTGACTACTGAGCTTTTGTTCCTTCTGATCTTTTTAATTTTATTCTTGTTTTAATTAGTGTGCATATAACTCTGCTAAATCCAAAAACAAATTCCATCTATGGGGAAGTCATTGGAGTCATGGGGATACTCTACTCTTTTCAATTGCTTGTGCGCAGGTAATTTGTATGTTCAAAATCTGAGTTGTTACTTTTTGTTGCTTCATTCATCACCAATGATCTTCTTGATAGGATCAGATCTTTGATAGAACATAAATTTCAGAAAATTCATATCAGCCTACTTTTAGGACCTTCATTTGTTGTGTGCTTTATTTGCTTCATTGGTTATCTAATCATGATAACTTCACAGATTATGTATGCTTTTGTTATGCGTCCTGAGAGCTTGCCAAAATCATATCGAGACTTCATCCAGAAAACAGGGCCCGTTGCCGAGCCTGTGTACAAAGCTGTGAGGGATTGCTGTAGAGGTTCTCCAGTAGATGTGGACACACTATCTGCTTACCTATCCAGTCGAAGGGCAACCAAAACTCTGAAGTTGGAAGAGTTTCCTCGTATTATACCCTGCTCTATAATTCATCCTGATACAAACTCATGCTTAGTTCACAATGGCAACGTTGCAACCTCAACTTTCAGAAAAACATTTCCTCTTTACTTCTCTCTGACATTTGTTCCATTTGTGGTTCTGCGTTTACAGAAGGTATGCATCTATTCATGATTATTCCACAATTTTGCCTTAATAAATGTTAGCATATAAATTACAGAAGCGGTACAACATAAATATATACTTTGATTGCTATCCTAAATTCTGTTTTTGTTGACAACTCCAGAAACTGGAAATTTCTTTGGTGAACTTAAGCTTATATAGCTGTAGTTTCTTGCCTACATATGTAAGAATATATCCCACAAGTATCCATCAGAAAGTTTACATTGATCATCCAGTTTTTGGAAAGTGACTTGCATGTCCTATAAGACCGATAAGCATATTAATAGATAGGAATGGTTACTAATTCTACGAAAGTACAGCTGCATTTACTGACCAGATTCTAATCTATGTTAAGAGTTTATCACCATTTTGTCTCATCATATATAGATTCCTTTCTTGTTGACAGTTTATGGATGCTCCAGTACGCACCTGTTGGCATGCGGTTACTGGCGCTGTTCGCTCGACCACATTCTTGTCTGCTTTTGTTGGTATCTTTCAGGTAGTTCCTTTTATCTTTTTATTTTTCATGCCCTACATTATAATTTTTACTGATTAACTTCTCCCTTCTATAATAGGGAGTGATATGCTTGCACAGGAAAGTGGCATTGCGGGACCACAAACTCGTGTATTGGCTAGCAGGAGGGATATCTGCTCTCTCGGTATTATTGGAGAAGAAAGCTAGACGTGGGGAGTTGGCCTTGTATGTTCTCCCACGTGCTGGAGAATCTTTGTGGTATATACTGGTCAATCGTCGTTTGCTTCCCGATATCAAGAATGCTGAGGTATTTTTGTTTTTTTCCTTAAATAACGAAAATTAAAATAAAGTATTAAATTAAAAAATCAAAATATATGAGAAGGTACATAAAAGAGAAAGGGGCATGTTCTCCCGTTGGTCAGTGTGCACAAGTGAAGGGTTTTCAGTTCCTATTTTGGAACTGTTTTTTTACTGGAATCGTAATGATTTATTTTACGTTCGTCTATCAGGTGGCTTTGTTCTGTGCATGTATGGGTGGAATCATGTATTACCTAGAACACGAACCGGATACAATGGCTCCATTCCTAAGGGGCCTAATTCGCCGTTTTCTTGCCAGCAGAATAAGCAATCCTGGCCCTCTATCAAGTCGAAATGCATCTTACACATATCTACACACACTGGATGCCATGAAAAAGCCAGATGTGCAGGACAATCGAGAAGTTGAGACTTCGCCTCCTAAAAAATACAATCTTGAATCCATCCCTGGACTCTGAGCATTTTTTTGTGCTTGTCCTTCTCACCAGAGATGGCTAAGCATTGATTTATTTAATTCGGAATTGCTTTGTTCTGGGTATATGAAAGCTATTATTGCCCAGAAAAGGGGGATAATGGTCATTTTAATTGATTTGTTATCAAGACTGGTGGTCTTAGATTGAAAGCTGTAAAACCTCATAATAATTTTTTGTTTAAATGTTATGCAATCAACTGGTGTTGCTCATAGTTGAACAAATCAATTTCAGTCAATAAGCAAATTCGAGAAGAATTTAACCGAGGCAGATGGATGATCCTTCAGAGTAATACCTGTCATTGTGTACTCTATAGTCTATATGAAAATATATGTGTTGTGTTCACAATTAACATATGAAAACTAAGAGCGGTATCCAAACAAGAGTTTTAATCATTCAATCACACATGCATTTGATGGTTGGGGAAAAATGCATATACACAAACCATATTCCCAGGTGTTCATATCAATGCGAATTTGCATCGACTTGTGAAATACTTCCAGATGTGCATTGCCTTCATTTATTTTAGTTTTTCTCTTTTCCTAATAAATGATAGTTCAGGGCATAATATCATTAGCATTACATCAAAATGTTGACCAAAGGTGCATAATCTACATACAGAATAATGATTAATGATACACCTTATTCTTCTTGAACCTTGCATATATCATAGGACTTGCTACCTATTTTACATGAAATACCACCAAACAAGCAGGTAAAAATGCGCTTTTGCGATAAACCTCCGATAGCAATGTGTCTCTTCATTTCCTCTCCAACCACCTTCTTCAAAGAATCACTTATATCACCAACTGCCCAAGCTATAGATATGTGTGGGCGTGGATCCTGTGTAAACCAAAGGAAAATTCAGTGTTTGTAACCTCAAAGTCGAAAGTGATTTTATGTAATGTAACCACAGGGGAAAAAAGGAAAGAAAAGAAACAAAAATTGCCACCACGTCCACGTGTGAAACTTACTTTGTAAAATTCTGGAAGACTATGAAGCCTGTAAACCTCATTCACAGTTTCAATTTGCTTCTTTATCTGAAACCAACAGAAATTTAATGAGTTTCACTACATTATTAACTAAAACCATTATTCAAGCAATTCACAAGCTCCATATGAAACTTGCCATCCATTACGGTCATCAAAGGTGTCAAGCAAAGTTCTTTATTATTGGTTGAGCCCTCATTTTGGTGGGAGTGAATCGAAGGTTTTCAAAGCCATGCAAAATTGACCTGCTAACAAATTGAGAGACCAAAGCCAATAGCTAACCTTAAACTCTTAAAGTACTATTTTATTTATACTTCTCCCAATTTATATAACTGAGAAATAAAATTTATGGTCCACAGTAAATATTCATACTTGTTCAATGGAATATATTAATCTATTTGAATTTGTAGGAATAGATGAGGAAATAATACTAAAACTAAGATTAACTCCTTCTGTGTCTGATATACAAACAGCTCTTTTATCCCATATTCATGCAAATCCCTAAGAGATCCATATGCTACACTAACTGATAAGCACATTGTATCTAGTAACGACAAACTGGGAGAAATTTACAATCAAAAGTTCTGATATTATCCAACAGACATAACTCAAAGAATTATAACCAATAATTAACTTATAATCAAAAGATAATTTGCATCCTTAAACATGAATATATTTGTGAGTCATAATCTGACAATCTTCTGGTGAAATAATTTACCTTTTTTTT